CAAAGGAAGCACGGACTTCTTAAAATCGCCTTTATCAGAAGGCAACGATACTAGCGCAGAAGAGGTTAAAATTGATTTTACTGATTTTTCAAATCAATTCGATTTTTTTTCATCATCAATGAATTTTTCAGATATAATTACATCATCCACTGATTATAATCGATCTATATCAGATTCAAACACATTATTAAACGAGATTACGTCAAAATTATTTCAATCAGAAGGTAACTATTCTACCCTCATTATTTTTCTACAGCAAATCAGAACAATTATTTTTGAAACAAATGTAGAAATACCTGAAGATGAAGCAATTTCTACAACATGCTCTTCAATCATAGATAAAGTAAATAAAATCATTGATGAACATTTGCAAATGAAGTTGACTCTTCAACAATTTACCGGAATGCTTGATAAATATTGTAAAGACGGAAACGGTTTAGATAATCAGCAATTAACCACATCAGCAATGCTTGATGAAGATCAAATATCTCGTTATACAAAAATGATTCATACAGCGATAAATAAATTCGAAGCGAATGATCAAAAAGCAGAAGATCAAGATAATCCAGATAATCTAAAATCGTCTAATAATATTGATAATGCTAATGTTATTAATAGAGATATAAATATAAATAAAAAAGAAACGAATGATACAAACAACCACAATTTAAATCAAGATGAATCCCAAAAATCAATTGAAGAGCAGATAAATATGTTAGAGCAGAAATACAAACAAAAAGAATTATCAATGTCTAAAATTATTCAAGATTTAAAGAAAAAGCTTGAAAAATTAAAGAATCAAAGATATGTTACTGAAGCTGGCATTAAAAGAATTGAACGTCAGCTATCAAATGGAAAAGACCTTACCGCAAAACAAGAAGACAATGATGCAAGATATGACAAAGTTGTTGATCAAATCAAAGAACTTCAAAGCAAAAACAAGAAATATTCAAAAATATTTTCAGCATTTAAATCGCAATTAATAAATGAAGAAGACAATCAAGAAATCAGCATTGACAATCCAATTAAAATCATTCAAGCATTCAAAAATCTTAAACAAGAAAACCAAAAACTTAGCAAATTAATTAATGAGCAAAGCATTAGCAAATCTCCAGTATCAGAAATTGAAAACAGCAAACAAATGGAAGAAATGAGTTCCAAGATAACCACATTAGAGCGGGACCTTGATGAATACAAGTCAGCGTTATCCAAGATAGAAGATATATTTTTAATTGATCATTCAAATACACAAAAAATTCCCGAAAAGCTAGCTTTATTGACTGACATCATCAAGTCAAACAAAGAAAAGAACGATGAGTACTGCAACCAGCTAAACAGCTCGAAACAAGAGATAGAAGAGCTCAAAAATAATTTATCACAAATTAAAGCGGTTATTAACGTACAAAATTCAGAAGAAGACGTTATTTCAGCAGTTCAGGATCTCAAGTCTAAGTATGAGACGCTCAAAGCGAAGCAGACCAAACTTGTAGCGCAAACCAAGCAAGTTATAAATCAAACAAAGCAATTGAAAGAAGATTTGTCCCAATCGAAGAAGAAAGAAAGCGAGCTAGCGAAGAAGCACGACGAGCAAAATGTCACCATTAAGACACTTAAAGAGCTGAGTAACAAACTAACGGAAAAGAACCAAATCAAGAAGAAGAATCTCGTTCTTTTAGCAAAGAAGGTCAACTTTTTGAATGCAACTTTAGAGACGATTAAAAAAGAGTTCATTAAATTCATCACGAACAACGAAGACAAAGAAGCAATCAAGCAAATGGATTCTGTTCCTAAAGCCTTTCTTATCTTCTTGTCGAAGTACAACAAACAAGTGTCAAGCAAGCTTCATGGCAAATTTAATCCAATCATCAATAGTTTCGACTGTCAAATCCACAATTTGAGCTCACAAATTTCGACGGTTACTTCGAAATATCAAAACCTCATCAGCAAGAATTCAGAAGAGAAAGATAAATTGGCATCTGAAATTGAATATTTGAAAGAGGTTACCAACGGTTATGCCAAGACGTTAAGAATTCTTTTCCCGCCATTTTTGGATGTCCATTCAATTTCAAAGGCAAATGAAATACACAAACATTTGGAGAAAATGAGAACTATCACTGGAAGCCTGTTCTTGCTCATTCCTCACATTAAACAGCCGAATCAGAAGGAGAGCTTGTATTGCTTGATTTTGGCTCTGAGAACGGTTTTGCTATCGTCAAAGCTTTCTCATGATTTGCCGGTTTCTGTATCGTCTGACATTTCAATGGCCGATATCAAATTGAATGAACAACAAATTAGAAAAAGTATTCTTTACCAAAATGAATCAAAAATTAAAGAACTCTCCCAAAACTTATACCATTCGATTCGTTACTCAGACGTGGTCGAAATAGTGGGAGATATAATCAAATCAAAGCCAAAAATTATAAATGAGAGATCTGTAATCGATATGTTTAACGCATTAAGACAAAAATTGGAAAAGGCTGAAAGTGATAAGGAAAAATTGGCAGACTATAAAGGCATGGTGAAAATCTTGCTAGACGGCCTGTCTAAAAAAGTTCCTTCTAATTTGAAAGTAATTGTTAATCAACTAACTACTTTTACAATTTAACAATGGAAAAAAATATGTAATTAAACATTCATTTTGACATTTGTTCGTTTTTTTTTAATAAGAAAACAACTTTTAAATAAAAATTAAGGATTCGATATTTTTTTTTTTCCTTTTATTATTTTAAATTATATGTTTACTTTAATATATTTATAAAAATTAAATATTATTTCTACAAAAAAGTTATGATATATTAAATAATTTATCTAGATATTTATGTTTTTATTTTATTTTATTTATTTGTGATAAACGATAGAAAATTTATATTGAATTTTTAAATAAACGTACTATGAAATGAGTCGCGAAGATGAGATTCAAAAGAAGACAAAAGAATTCTGGAATCTGCAATTAAAACTTAATAAATTTGTCGGTGAAACAGAAACAAATCTTGATCCTAAATTAAAAAGTATTTTAAAAGGTATTGAAATTCCTGATTGGTTTAATAGCGGTATTGCTTTTTCTCCATTAGTGTTAGCTATGGACGATTATATACAAGTTCTTGAAGACGAACTAGTATCTTCGCAAGAAGAGCTTAAAGAATTATATCAAAATAAAAAAGCAAAAATAAAAGAAAATGAAACCAAGTACGAAAAAGAAATCGTTGATCTTCATAAACAAATCGATAATGTTAATAACGAAATCGAACAAATAAAAAAAGACAAAAATATCAAATCGAATGATCAAGAATTTATTCAAGATCAATATCAAAAGTATTATGAAACAGAAATAGAACGATGCAAAGAAGATATTGTACATTTGCAAAAAGAAGATCAAGAATTAGCAGATACAATTCAAGCATATCTTGAAGAAATAGAGATTTCGACAAACCAAATAGTTATGGCATGCGATGAACATAAAAAAAATATTCAGCGATCAAAAGTAATCAAGCAACAAATTAGCGATTATGCACTGGCTAAGCAAATTGCACAAAGATCTTCAGAAAAAATTTTACAAAGAACAGAAATACTTCAAAACGCAGTTAATAAATTATTATCAATGAAAAAAGATAATGATGATACTTTACTTGATTTACAAAAAGACCAGGAAGATTATGCAGTTATTAAAGATCAATACCAAAAAATTTTATTATCAATTCAAACTACCCAAGCTAAGCAAGAAGAAGTTTTAAGTGAAATGATCAAAGCTGTTGAGTTAACTGAAAATTCATCAGCTGATGTGCAAATGTATCAATTTGAAATACAAATGCTCGAAACCGAGAGTGAAAGACTAAATATATTAATCAAAGATGTTGAAAAAAACTTAAATAATATGGTTTCAGACTTCGATAAAAAAGCATTAACATATTATAATTTTGTTACCGACCAAATAAACGATAGAATGAATCTTTTAAAATCAGAACAAGTCAAGCTTTTACATGAAAAAGATGTTATTGAGCAGCAAATTGAAATATCACGTCAAAAAGGATCAGTTATTACAACAACAGTTACAGCACCCGACTTTTTGAGTTCTAATTCGGCCGATCATGTTTTGAAGCTCAAAGATGAATTTACACGAATTATTCATCAAAAAGAGAAAGTATTGAAAGAAACCGACAACATTCAAACAAAGATAGTCAAAAATAAAGAAAAGCTTCTCACTTCAGGTCACCACAAACGAAAAACGGTTTCAAAGCTTCAAACGCGCCGGCAAAAAATCGAAGTAGAAATATCATTAATGCGAAGTAATTTGAAAGCGATATTGCAAAAGAATGGAATGATTTCTGAAGAGAATGAAAAAGTTAAATGTTACATCAATCAAATTCGGAAATCTTCCACTTTTTCAATGACACAAATTCTTCAACAAAAAGAGGAAAGCATTCAAAAAATTCAAGCGCTAATTGAGACTGAAAACAAAGAACATGAATCCAACATCCAGACCGTTGAACAGGATATTTCAAAGTTCAAATTAATCGCTGAACATTATTCATCAGAAAAGCAACAGAATGAAAAAGATCACCTCTCAAAAAGTAAACATAAAAACGAAATTTTTCAGAACTCTAAACAAAAAGTTAAATATTTACAAAATATTTATCAGAAAAATATGGATGAAATGTTAAAAGGACAACAACTGCTGAAAGAAGCACAGGACCAAATTGACTTCTTCGCTAATGAAACGAATAAACTTTTGAAAAAAGAAAGAAGTCAAAGCAGTCTGATGAATAATGCTAAACTAGACCAGGTAGCAATAGCAACCGACATCGAAAGATATAGAGAAATTGAAAAAAAATTAGATGCTGAAATAGAGAATATGAAAAAAAAATCATTTACAAAAATTGATTCGAAGTTTGATTTAGTTGATGATGAAGTTGTGTCTGATCCATTATAAAATGTTTTTTATTTTTATATTATCTATTTTTAATCAATATTTTTTTGTTTATAATTTTTTTTTAAAAAAAAATCGCTTCTACAAGGAATCGAACCCAGAACTCTCCCCCTTGGGCAATCCCATGAGAAGCGTTTTACCCTTAAACTATAGAAGCATTTTTAAAAAACATTTTTGTTTATAATTAGATCCTATATTTGCATTTGTAAAAAATTCAACATAAACATTAGAATTTTTTAGAAAATTATAAAATAATGAAATGTCAGACATTGGATTAAATGCATGATTAATGAATAAAGATAATGATGAAAATATTATGTAAAAAAAATGGATGACAGGAGAGTCGAACCCCTGGCCTCATCAATGCGAATGATGCGCTCTACCACTGAGCTAGCCACCCTTACATTCAAACAAATTTTTTTTAATTAAAGATTAATTATAAAAGAAGAATTTGGATCATTTAACATTATCTTCCAAGACAAACAATAGCAAAATCAATTAAAAAATATGAGATAGACAAAATATCTTTTTTTTTTTTTAAGAAAAAAGTTATATCTTTACAAAACTTTATGAAAATGAAATAAGTAATTTATCAAAGTGTGCAGAAGTCTTCATTCTTCATATAATCTTTGTATAATTTTTTAAAATACTTAAAAACTTCCTGAGTTTAATATTGCTCTTGCCTCTTCAATATTTCCATTTGTAGCATCTAAAACAGAAACAATTGTGTTAAAATCGCAAACTTTTGCAAACTCACCTATAAAAAGTATTTGGTCTCGGTTAAAATTGGCAGCTTTTTCAATTGCTCGATAAAAATCATCATTAGCCATATTAGTACTTATAAGTAAGTTTTTATATTCAATATAGGGATTGACAAATTGATCTGGACTTTGAGTTGAAATCTCATTAATTTTTTGTATTGATGCGGTAAGTATTTGAACTTGAGCCAAACCCTTTGTAAATTCTGAAGCAAATGCTCTTTGCTGCTGTCTTTGCTGAACCATCTGTTGAAGTTGCAGTAATGGATTTTGAGTTGATCCGTATTGTGGAATTGTTCCAAATTGGGGATTGGTCGAATTTGGAATTGTTCCAAATTGGGGATTGATTGAATTCGGAATTGAACTGAATTGAGAACCAAATGAACTATTGATATTTCTTTTACGAAGTTGAAATAAATTTTGAAAAAAATCAGCTGCCCGATGATCTTTGTTTTTTGAACGATGGTCGTCGAACAAATCATTATTAAACCTTTCTATTTCTTCTGTGGATAATGTACCATTAATCATTGCTTCATATCGATCAAAATTATGTTCATTTTGATAGAATGTATTAGACATATTTTCAAAAGCGAAATCATAGTTATTTAAAGCACCACGAAGAAAGACTCGTGCATGGCGTTCGTCATATCCCATTTCGAGTAGCTGTTGTAATTTTTGAGGATCTGCCTCTGGGTATTTGCTTTGTTTCAAAAGTTTCATAAATGAAGAACCAAATGATTCTTGAGTTGCATTTTGATTAAAAGAATTTGTTTGATACTGTGCGTTTTGAGATGGAAGATGTTGATCTGTTTCTGGCTTATTTTGTGGTGGCGGATATGATTGTTGTGTTGGTTGCTGAATATTTTGTGATTGGAAGTAAGGTTCTTTTTCTGGCTTATTTTGTGGTGGCGGATATGATTGTTGTGTTGGTTGCTGAATATTTTGTGATTGGAAGTAAGGTTCTTTTTCTGGCTTATTCTGTGGTTCCGGTAATTTTTGATCATCTTGTCTCTGAGCGTTTTCTGATACTGGAGGTTTTATCTCTTGGTGAGTTTCCTCATTTGGTAAACTAGAAGGCGTTTGTAATTGTTTGAGACTATTTGGCAGATAAAAATTAATTGAAGTTCCTTCTGTAACATTCAAATTCATCAAAGTCTTTTCATCATCTCTTTGAATAACTTGCTTAATAATAATCTTTATACTTTTCGTTGCTTCTTCAGGAAGGCCAAATTTGTTAATAAATATTTTTTTAAGATCTAGTATCGTTGTACTTGGATCAACATCAATCTCAAAAGTCTCTTTTTTACGAGATGTAAGTATAATTTTCATTTCGTAAAATTTTAGAATTTTTAAAAGGATTTTTGCAAAGGTCGTAAAACTGAATTTTTACAGTAAAACTCAATGATTGGTTTGTTTAAACTAATTATATTTTATTATTATAATAATAATCAGTTTTATAAATATTTGCATCGTACTAAATTCAAATTAAAATAAAAACTAAAAGGATATAAGTATATATTAAATTTTCTTCAGAAAATAAATTTGAGTATTTTATCTCAATTTATTTTAATTATTTTTGATAAGAATTTTATAACACTTTATAAAAATTTAGAATAGCGATAACTTTTTATATAATTTATTCTAATCATTAATTCTTTTGATATCTTTTTATATGCTTTTAAAACATTAAGTGCTATATAAAAATAGTTATTATTATTGAAAAAAAAAAAATCATTTTTTAGCTAAAAATGCAGAAAAATTGAATTTGTTGAATTATTAAATGATGATTTTAAAAAAATTGGACGTTACAGGAGCCAAATGAAGAATACAATTTTATTTATATGCATTTACTTTCTAATATATTTGAATTTCATTCTAAATCAAATGTCAGTTTTTTCTAAAAATGAAGATTTAGTTGATTGGTTTCATAAATATAAAAAGTTTAATATTTCAATTACTGAAGGATTTTGTCAAAAAGTAAAATATTATTTGTATAACACATAGTATATCCATTCAAATGACATCTATATTTTTTAAATGATGCAAATATATAAGAAATCGATATATATTGAATTTTAATTAAAGTCTTTATTTCAACCATTACATTTTATAATATTGGATATAAAATATATAAATTATATATTATAATTATTAAATAAATTATTTATTAAGATAAATATAAATTTATTTAATTTTATTTTTTATTCAATTTAGTTGTACGACCTTTATTTTTGCCTGAAATTTTCTTTTGTCTGATCAATTTACTGAAAATGTATAAATGAATATTTTGCAATATATATATACAATAACATATTTTAAACATTTATATGATTATTTTACATTTATTTTTATATGCTATTAAATATACTCTAGAAAAATGATAAGAGATGGAGAGGATTCTACATAAAATTCAATTCTATGATTCAAAAGTTTACATTAAAATTTTCAATATTAATTTTTTTTTTTATTAAAAAGAACCAAAATGAGTATTACTCAATGAATAATATTACCCATTGATGAGTACTCATTTGATACTTTTTGAATGAAAACACGTTTGGACACAAAAAGCATGCAGTATGCTTTTTTTTGTACCCAATTAAATGATTCAAAAAGTGGTGAAATTAGGTAATTTATATAACAGCAGAAGGCTTATATTAGTTCATTTTGAAAATATGTAGAATGTTTAATCTTTAACTTTAAGAATAAAAAAGTTTAATATGTAAAATTGAATCATGTTTTTCTTTTTGTATCATTTCAACTAAGGCAAAGTTATAATTTATATGTTAATGCATTTTAGTATCAGTTGTTCGTTTTATTAATTTTCATAATTAATCAAATATAAGTAGCTGCAAATTAGTTTTTAAAAAAAAAAAAAAAAATGAAAATAGAAATGCTAACATGGGTCAATAAAAAATATTTATTTTTATTAAGTTGTGTAAAAAAAATGGATTAGAATTATCTGTTAAAAAGATTTATAATTTAATATCTTCCATATTTATATGTGCATGTAATGCTTTGTTAATGTGGTTTATTTTTAAAATGTTATTAATGCAATATTTAAGCATTTTAATAATTGTATTATTACCGATTGTATTCCTCAAAAAGTCAATTTTTGAATACAACCATTTTTTTTGTTATGATTTATCATTTCAAAAATTGATGGATTAATAAATGAAAATTAATTAAGTTTTATATTTTAAATGATAAAATGTTATAATATAAGAGCAAAATACTTTTTTATTTCAATTTCAAATATATTTGATTGTAATTGAAAAAATAAAAATTTTATTACAATAATAAAATTATTCTATCTTAATATTTATTTTATAATATTTTGTATATCTTATTTTTAATTGATAAAAAACATAATGATAATTAATGAAAATATTAAATTTTCTTTAAAAGAGAATAATAAAAAAAAATAATCACATTTTTTTTTTTCATAAAATTTACCTCAGAATTTGATAAAATGTTAATACTGCAATAATTAATTATTATTTTGCATGAATTATTCATATATATCATTATAATATTAATATATAAAATTAAATCGTATAAAATTCTAGAATAATATTTTCACTAATTAGTATATTAATATTTTATCTTTTGGTATCTTATTGAATTAAATCATACAAATATTACAATAAGATTATATAAATAAATTCTAAACTAGTATAAATGGAAATACAAAAATATCTCGAAGAAATGAAACTAATGCAAAATAACCTTTTATCTTTTCTTGAAAACGATGGTGATGTTTCTGACGCATATCAAAATTTTATTACCATTTGTGATGAAAGCGATGTTCATCATCATAAGCACAAAATCAAATCGATTCTTTACTTAATATCTAAAATATCAAACAATCACCATCGCACTCACAACTTTTTCAACAAAATTGGACAAATTATACAGCATTTGCATCACAGAATCAAGCATTATTTCACCGATCAAGAAATTTTTAATGTTTTTAAGAGTAACAAAAGAGTTCTTCTTCTACTTTTTGAAGAAAAAATAATAACGGTCGATGAGAATATTAAATATGTAATGGTTAACGGTATCTACAAGACAGCTAATTATGATTATTATTTTTTCCCAGAGCTTCAACCATTTCTTGATGAGAACTTCATCAAAGAAGTCACAGAAACTCTTCCAGACGATTTTGAAGAAAAAAGAAAAATTGGCGAAAACGACGATTACATTTGTGAGATAATCAGGAATGATTTTATACATGAATTTGTGGATCAAGTTAAAAAAAGCAAAATTCATCTTAATTCCTTTGTTAAACCGTCAATTTACGAGACAAACAATTTTTTAATCAAAAATCAAACAACATTAATTGAATATGCTGCATTTTTCGGTTCTATTCAAATTTTCAAATATTTATATCAACACCTCA